AAAGACTTGGCCAACACTGCAAATTGTGAAAGCTTTGATACACTGAATGAATAATTTGATTAAACTGGCTCGCATCTCCACCTTCTGCTAGAGGGCAAGGACGATGTTTACACCGAGAGCTGTGCCACGGCAATGCTCACTGCAGTGCTACAGGAAGCCGGCATTTCCTGCCTGAAGCTTCTCACAGCTACACACACCATCCTGAGACTCGGGCTCTTCCTTCCTTTCTTTTTTTCTTCTATTCAACAGCCATCAGACAAACTAAGAAATAATAATAATTTTTAAAACCCTGCATTTTAATGCAAAAAAAAAAAAAAAGAAAAAGAAAAAAACCACTGCACTATCTTTTAAAATGCAAATAAATTGAAAATAGATTCTTAGAATTTACTCATCATTTTAAATATTTCTTCTTGATTTTCCTTTCTGCTATGCCCTAACTCAAATCACTGAAATCAATGGAACTATTCTATCCGATTTCCCTCCATTTTGGACCAAGGACCTTTTCTTAAGCAAAACACTCTGGATTTGTCAAAGGGCGCTAGCCACATACATGTTAGCAGGCCTTGACTCCCTGGTCCCTAACTCAAGTAACCACGCTGAAGAGTTCATAACTTAAAAACTAGTTAGTGATGGTATCAGTGAGAGTTGTGCTTCAGCAAGGAAGTCACACTTTGGATTCCGTATTTTGAAGAGAACAGAGACACCAATAAGATTTACCATGTTAGGAATGACAGACTGCTTGGACAGGACACAGGAAAGAAATATAGACTAACAGAAAGAACTATTCCATAATTTTGAATAATAAATTATTTTTTAAGTCTGTTAAAATAAAGTGCTCATGGATCTATCATTATTTTTGTGTCCCACTTTTCTGTTTCCTACCTAACCAAAAATTTTCCCCAAAATTCCAGAAAAAGTGGTCAAATCTCACTTCTTTTAAACCTACAGGAAGGAAGGTTTCTCCAGAATCCACAGCCCAACTAGATCTTTCAGCCCACATTTCCCCGAGTTCTATCAAAACGTAAGCTATCAAAACACATTTGGCTTTGATCCTCAGGGTAAGTTATCATGGAGCAATTAAAGCCAATATCTTAAAACCTAGGTTTAAATCAAACAAAATGAGTATTTGAGTTGTTGAATATAGAATATGCTGAATCTTCCTTCTTCAGTTGTGTGAAGAATTTAATTTCTCCAATTTCTGATGAAAACTTGCAACCTCAGATGAAGTTCAGCCAATTCTACAAATAATTTAACACAGGAACAAAAAAAAAAGTAGCCCGTTCCACTGATTATGTTTTTTTCTTTCTGGAAATGATTATATTAGGAAGAAGACACTTGTTTTTAAAGTAGTGTCATGTTATCTCCCTGGTGACAGGTTAACAAATATGAATCCCAACACTAGCACAGAGCCATGATAGCCTATTAAATTATGATGCCCAAAATTAGCATGCACAGTTTTGAAACAAGAAAAGATATCATGGCAAGAGAAGCATGTGGATGAGGTGGAAATACTAGGAAACTGGTGTGGAAGCCAGCCTGACAAATACTCAGCCTAAAAATTTGCAGCTGACATTTTGATAACCAGCTTAGCGGCCTGAAAACAAATTTATCTGTGCACAACAGAGCAGATGGGATGCTAGAGGAAGAAGAAAAAAAGATTGGTCAATTGTCAGGAACAGCCATTTGCTTGAGAACCTGAAAGATAGTCCCACAAAAACAGAGAAGGCGTAGTGAAAACACACAAGTCCTTTGAGATGGTCCATTCCTGCCAATAACTGACCTGATAAAGTTCCACAACACCCAGCAGTATGCTTTGGGTTGATAACATTGTCTGTATAGGTGGCCAATTCACCCACCTTTATATCTGCAATATTCCTCCTATCTTCAGTTATAACTCTGATTTGCAGCCTTGGAGAAGTAGTATCAAAGATAAAAGCAACAAGTTTGAGATTTTTATAACTTGCATTTTATCATTCTATTACTTCATAGGTTTCTTGGCTTGAGTTTCTTTTTCTGATTCACTGTTTCTCAAAGTACTATTAATTTTGAAAGTGCTGTAGTCCATGTCCTAAGACTTGCACTCTTCTAAAATGTTTTGCAAGAAGTTCTTGCTCTTGCAGTGGGGCAGCAGATTAACTGTGTTCAGCACTACAAACTTGGCTTCACCCATCAAACCCAGATCTTTACTGTAATACATGGTATGCCTCCTGATCTGGTATGTCTGTCAGTTTTCAACAGTACTAGAAAAAAATCAATGATCTAGCAGAAAGTCACAGTACATTTTGCTTCTAAAAATACTCTAGAAGCCAAGCTTTCCATGTTTCACATGTGCAAGCTGAGGCTTTCTGTCTTTCCTGCAAGTTAATTCTGCTCTGGAGAAAAGACAGCTCTAGTTCTACCAAACTTTTTACTCATGTCTACACTGTACATACTTTTAAGGACAGTATGTGGGAATATCTCCCTATCTGTATGTAGAAGTAGTTACTTTGCTGAATCCATCATACAATGGATTCGTATTTGTGCAGTAATTTTGAAAGTCAAGACAAGCAGTCTGAACAGAGATCACCTGAGCAGTGCAAGAGAAAGCTGGTTGGTATTTTTATGGCAATATTTAAATAGCTCATTTGCCAAATACACTACTACTGCACAAAACAAAACTCCAAGATCAAAATATGCAGCCCAGTTTACTTACAGGTAGAAAGAATCATGTCTGGTTGTCCACTTATATTTAATTGGAAATGCAAACCTTTCTTCATCAGTTGTGCCAGTAAAAGAGCCCTAGCTGAGCTCTTCACTCTAATATGAAACATGGCAAACCACAAAAACTGCTTGACCCCACCTACTTACCTTTTTTTTAAAAAAAAAGCCCCAAACAGATTAGATACTAATCGCAATATTGTTTAAAAAAAAAAAGTAAAAAAAGTCTGCTTTCTAGTATCAAACACACATTTTACAGAAAAAAATTACTAAACTGTAATCAGTAGGGCTAAGCATTTCTTAAAAAAAAAAAAAGGAAAAAAAGTACAGCAGATGTAAATCATAGCATTTGGTTCTGTTTTTCTGAATTTTTGACCCCAACATTTGAAAAAATTCAGTTATAATAAAAAGGGGAAGAAGGACTGAAGCTGCTTAAGGATGAGTGATCTCATCTAGAAGAAATGATGGTGCAACATTTCAACTTGCCTTTGAAGACATCAGGAGAGCCAGCAAGAGAACTGCCTCCAGAGCAGTTCTGATCCTTTCCAAAATTAGCCATCTAAGGCTACATTAAAAAAAAAAAAAAAAAAGCATTCATCTAGAAACTAGGTGCCTCTCAGTTCCTGACATCCTAAGTATCAAACCCAATAGCAGGTATGCAGAAATTATCCTCAGATACTGGGAAGAGGCAGGTGAAGGGGTCAAATTCAAAGCACCTACCCTGCTGAGGAAACTGCTGCCAAAAGTCCGCATAGTTACGGTGTGTTTTATCATCCAAATTAATGATAAATATTTAATTATTGTAAAGAAATAGGCTTAAGGTTCATTGGAAACTATTAATCTCCTGATTTTCCTATGCTTCATTTGTCTTTTAAGGGAAACATTACTTATTACTGTAGAATTCTTCATGATATATTGTTGAAAGTGTTGGCAATGCCTTACTTCGCAGGGTCTCCACTGAGAAACTGGGGTGCAAAGAGCAGTTCGGGAAGGAAAAATGAGCTTGGCTTACCTTAGGTCTTCCACATTCCTTTTTCTACTGCAGGTAGAAACCCCTAGATTTTCCCCTTTAACAATATATGCTGTTGGTACTGATTGGTTTGGACTCAACACTTTGACAGGTCGGTTTGCATAGTTGCGATAATCTTCCGAGACTTTGTCATGAAGAAAAAGGAAATAGCCACGTAAGCCTTTTCTGTCAACCTGTAACTCTTCAGTGGAATAGCATGAGAAAAGGAAAGCACTTCTTCCAAGAAACAAGAGGCTTCCTCCTTTTGAACGTAAACATATAGGCAAAGCAGAGCAGGGATCTAAGCATCTCCAAAATTGATTACAGAAATACTCAAATGCAACAATGATGGAATGTATTAAGCTAACTATAGTTACCTTTAATAGTTAGAAATAAACTTCACCATACTCCTCTCTGCCTGCTTGCAAAAAAATTTAAAAAAAGGTTTTGTGCAATCTATTTTCTATTACACATGGCACAAGAGCACAAGTAACAAAAGAAAAAGAAAACATGTAATAGAGTTACTCAGGAGGTGGCTACAGCAAAACTGAAGTGCAAATACTCCTCATATCCACTGGTACAAAGTTTGATTAATTGAAACAGGCTTCAGCAAGGCTGTGGAGACATTAGCCTCTAGCAGAGGGGACAGGGCATGTAACTTCTAAAGAGAGTTCAGGCATTTCTGCACTGAACATTTCATCATGTCCAAATTCATTTAAATATATATTCATACAACTATATATATTTAGTATGGAGTGTGTATACACACAGATATACACACACACAGACTATAACACCACCATATTCACATGAACAAGAAGTTTGGCTTATGATGCACTGACAGTAAATTATTGGCAACACATTAGTTGGTTCCAAACAATAGTTAACATTCAGTTTATTTACATACACGTGTAGTATGACATTTTCTGTTAGGAACAGAAAGGTTAGATCACTGTACATACAGATGACAGTCAGAAAGACGAGCCCTCCTTAAACGCTCTTGAGAGTTTCTTTCATTTACAACCCCATGTATCGAGTTATGTATGTAAGTGAAGGTAGGACAAACTTGTGCTTGAAAATTTCAAGAAGAAAACACACTTTATATAAATAAATGCATGGAATTTATATATTTACAATACATACAGCATATAAATTATTTTATAATTAATCCAAAACAAGGTACTATTGTACACTGACAGCCAGTTGTGCTGAATCTTGGACTTATTTTTCACAAGTAACTTCAAGACTAACTGTGGGAGGTCTCTGGTTGACCCAACAACCTAGAATGGCTTGGGGCATATCACAGCTCAGTTCTGAAGCAAAGCTTTTTGAGTGTTACACTAAATTGAGGACTGTGCTGTTAACAACCTACTTACTATGTGCAAATGAGAGGCATGTTTTGTGCTCTTGATGTGTCATAAAACACCCATCAACCAAGAAAAATAAAGTTTCTGGAGAATCTCTGTGAACATCTCAATGTCAGTAAATAGCCATTTATAGACACCTTCAACTCTTAAGCATGCAAATCACTGCTAATACTACTGCCTGTGTAAAGAGAAACACAGAAACGTGGACTGTATGTACATGAATGCAACCCACTAAATGCAAATTAGGCTCCTGGGTTTTGCCTACATTCTCTCTCTTCCTCCATAAAGAGCTCAACTTGCCAGCTATGCAATGCTGACTTTTCAGAGAAAACATAGAGACTGCTAGTATTGCTGAAGATACTGTGCTTGTTTCCCAACATCATTTAAAACTCTGTGCTGGAGTGGATCAGATGTTACAGGTTCCCCATGCTGTTTAGCAGCATCCAGCAGCTTACAGGATCAAGCCTTTTAAAAGAAATGGTGAAGCCACATCTCTGGAAAGCTGCTTCTTTTCTGTACTTGTGCTGCTGTTGTCTTTTTTCAGAAAGCATCTTCACCCTCTGCAATATCAATGATTTTGTGAAGCAAGTCTTCAAAAGTCGGGCGTCCCTCTGGTTTCTAAAAATAAAAAGCACGCACAGCTGTGATCAGAAAGCAGTAAAGTTGTGTTGATTTTGATAAATTATTAGTCTTGATATCATTCTATGGCTATAAATATACCATTTCATTAGCTGCGACATGCAAAAAGATTTCATTGTGTGAATTTTGAATGTGTTGCTTCATCTCAGTAAGCGTCACCTTTTTTTTTTTTCCTACACTTTGAAAAAGCATAAATAGGTGTTGCTGGACTACACTCTTCATAATAATTCATTATTTTGCATAATGCTACACTTCTTCATTTTTCTTCCTCATTCCCACCTCTCCCAAAGAATTGCTCCAATCTTTCTTTACGCAAGTTGTTCATGCTCCTAAGAATTTTGAGTGTCATTCTCTGAAACCTCTTTTACTTCTACTTTATTTTTTGGACTCCGAAATGAGACTACATCAGACTTACACAACGGCCTCCTTTATCTACTCTGTTCTCCATAGAGATCCTTCTGTGTCATAACATCCTGTTTGTTTTTTTTTTAGTTACAGCAATAAACTGAGATAATCTCTTTGCTGACCTTCCTGACACAGTTAATTTAGCATCTTCTGAATGTCTGGGTTAACTTGCACTTTTCCTCCATTTATCAGCCTCTTTAGATTTGTATCACCTGCTGAATTTTGAAGCCTCAGTATTCACTTCCCTCTACAAATCATTAATAAATTTATTAAACAAGGACTGAGGTACCTACAGTTAATCATATTTTATGACAGACTGACAGTATCTTGCCCTTACTTGTGTCCTGTTTGTGATTTGCAAAGATTCTTTCTCTCCCATGTGATGACTGCTTAGATTTTTATGGTTAAGAACCCCTGATGAAATCAGTAAATTTTTAATCAATTCATTGATGCTCATGTAAGTCCTATAAATAAATATTAACATTCAAAGAGCATTAACAAATAACTTATTATCTTCTAGGTAATTTATTATTCCATTTTAATGACCATTTCAAGCAGGTTACCAAGTACAAACAAAATTTAATGATCTGTAGTTTCCTAGCTCCTGTGAATAGCTTTTTTGAACTACAGACTTATTTGTCATTCTGTGGCCCTCCAGGGCACTGTTGTTTCTGATGTTTTTTCCACTGCATAAACCAACTGGTTTGTAAGTTTTAGACATCCACCAGTTGGTTTGATGACTAATTGCTCTCTGTTCCAGCACCTTGTCCTCCAAGACAAGCATCAGACAGTATGTCATCTCTATTACTGGAAAAGAGCAGTTTTTTCCCAGCACCCCTTGTGGCAAAGACTAACTAGAAATAAATCATGTAGCTCTTCCCATTCTTGGTTTCCTCAATTTCTCTCTCAAAATTAGAGGCCTCTATTAAATGCACCTATCCTCTTAGAGACTTTCCGCTTCAATACTACAAAAACAGTTTTATACTGATTTAGTTGATAGCATTGAGTTTGGGTCTGCTGCCTGTCCTGGTTTCAGCTGGGACAGAGTTAATTGTCTTCCTAGTAGCTGGTAAGGTGCTATGTTTTGAGTTCAGTATGCCAAGAATGTTGATAACACTGATGTTTTCAGTTGTTGCTAAGTAGTGTTTAGACTAAAGTCAAGGATTTTTCAGCTTCTCATGCCCAGCCAGCGAGAAAGCTGGAGGGGCACAAGAAGTTGGCACAGGACACAGCCAGGGCAGCTGGCCCAAACTGGCCAACAGGGTATTCCATACCATGGGACGTCCCATCTAGTATAGGAACTGGGGGGACTGGGGGCGGGGAATCGCCGCTCGGGGACTAGCTGGGCATCAGTCAGCGGGTGGTGAGCAATTGCACTGTGCATCAATTGTATATTTCAATCCTTTTGTTATTATTGCTGTTGTCTTTTTATTATTGTTATCATCATCATTATCAGTTTCTTCTTTTCTGTTCTATTAAACTGTTCTTATCTCAACCCACGAGTTTTACTTCTTTTCCTGATTTTCTCCCCCATCCCACTGGGTGGGGGGAAAGTGAGTGAGAGGCTGTGTGGTGCTTAGATGCTGGCTGGGATTAAACCACGACACTGCCCCTTTGACCTCTGTGAAAATTGTACAGTCAGTATCTTTCTGGGTTAGGAGGATTAATAGTACCATGTATTTTTAACTTTCTTTATAAACCTTGGGATTTGTATTTAGATTCAACTGCAGTTAATCTATATTTCCTATATAATTTATAATCAGGTAATAAAGCATTCCTTTAAAAATATTTTCAGTCATTTTGGCATGTTTCTGTAACGATTAATAAACTGAGGCAATATAAAATCAGATTCTCCACCTCTGGGCCATTCTGACTGAATTTTTTTTGCTAGCAGTATTTGTATGCAGATATAATTGTGACCAGCACAGATTTACCAATTATTTTATTTTGTTACTAAATGCCTTTGCATACTGAATCTGACAGTCTGTCTATTTCATTGAAATTTCCTTGGTGGTTTTTCTTATCACAGCTCTAGTTCAGTTGCAAACCAGGGGGAGATCTTTGCTTTAGCAATAAAGACGTGAATAGCTGAGAGAGCTGGATACAGTCAGAATGCTGCAAGAGACATTAATTGCTGTTGCTAGATTGACCTTTTTTTCAATTCAAAGACAAAAAAATAAAAAAAGTATATACCTCCTGCCAGCACATCATCATTGTTTCATACACCTGCTTGCAGGCTAGTTTGGGCCGATACAAACGATGTCCTTGGCTAACCATTGTTACCACTTCATAGTTGGAGCTTTTTTCAAAGGGCATTTTTCCTTCTGTAAATACTTCCCACATTAAAACACCTTAAAAAAAAAAAAAAAAGATTACGAAAATAAGCGAATAATTTCTTAATAATATATGTTTATTTTGAGCCTTGGGCTCAGGATTTCTGATAGATAAAGAGTTTGAGATCCATGTTCTAAAAAGTGTTCACATCTGTCATTGCTGAAAACATCTTATTCTAGTAGCATAGGTTTTAATAAATAACAGTTCTAAAGGTCTCTGTGGAACTTTATGCAAGCATAAAACCATGGCAAATGGTTTCTCTGAGCTTCTTCTCAGATCTCTTCATATGTCTGAATCTTTCCTAATAACTGGAGCTTAACTGCTATCGATAAAATGTAAAAATAGTGCTTTCTTTCAATGATGAATGTCTTACCAAAGGACCAGACATCTGACTTGCTGCTGAATCGGCTATAATTAAAAACTTCAGGGGGGCACCATTTCACCGGGAATTTAGCCCCCGAGGAGCTTGTGTATTGATCATCAAGGACATACCTAAAAAAAAAAAAAAAAAAAAGAAAAACATTATATCCTTCAGTCAGCCTCCAAGCCTGCAACTCATAATTTAGATTTGGATTTTAATATTAGAAGCTCATATTGCCACCTAATGGCCATGATTGTTAGCATCACACGATAAAAAAAGCTTCTCTGGGGCAGTACTAAGGTTTCAGTCAAGACCCAGTTCATTTTTCTGATTACCTCAGAGTCTTCTCTTGTGACTATTAGCTATACAACACAGGTCTAGGCCACCCACAAGTTAAATGTCTGTATTACAAAAGAAAATGATGCAAAAGCATAGATTTCTCGCTCTGTTTCTCACCAGCCAGTCTGAATTCAGATGTCAGGGGACATGCAAGCTCAGTAGCACAGAAAGGTGGCAAAAGCCAAGAAGAGCATGGTCAAACCACAGTGCTTTAAGACCTCCCTTACAAGCGCTGCTCCCCACTCCCTGCCTCACCCACGCGTCACCCACCTGATGTAGCACCCGTGGGTTGCTAACATTGCTAACGAGGGCAGGAAATTAACCCTTCTCCAGGTCTCAGCACCTCTCAGCACTTCGGCTAGCGAGATGCAACTTTGAACCACCTACCTCAAGAGGATTCCAAACTCACTGAACAGCCTCTTTCTACCATTTATTTACCAAAATACAGATTAACAACTATTATCTCTGCAGCATGAGCTCTGCTGTCCGAGACACAAGCTCTAATGTGCCCCCTGCATCACTGCAAGATTAAAATTTGCAGGATTTTCACAGATGCTACAGAAGTTGCTAGTAGAAGACCAGTCAGACCACAGAGTCAGTTTAAAGCCAGTCCTCTCATGGTAAACACTAGACACACTTACCTCGTTAGAGAATAAACTGCCTAGTTTTGATTTTCCAGAATTAAAATGAGTAAGGTAATCCACACAAGACCATAGAATGAGCAAGCTTTAAAGGCACTGGAAAAAAAATGAACCATACGATGCTCCCTAGAGAGGTCAAAAAAGATAATTTTTGCCTGTATTTTGCTGGGCATGTGTTGCTTTATGGCTAAGTACAAGGGTTAGGTGAATTTTCCCAAATCCCCACAAGTATGTTTGCACACTCAGCCGTACCTTGTCATTCCAAAATCCGACACTTTGACCACTCCTGAGTCACTCACCAAGCAGTTCCTGGCAGCCTGCAAAGGGAATGGTTAGAGTTTGATGAAAAACTTGCAGTCTCTTGCAGACAAATTACAATGGTCTAACGAGGACTTTGTCCTCATTGCATAGCAAGTTCACCGATTTACAAAGTTCAGTGGTGTATTCTCATTATGCTCTGGAATAAAAAGTACATGTGCATTTGCTCTTGATAGTACTACTTTGACAACTAAACTATTTTGTAAAAAATCACCAGAAAAAAATTATCATTTTGAGGAATTCATGAGTGGTGAAAATGGCACCAGTAAAGAACAGACATAAGCTATCATTTCAGTGCAAATAGCTATCAACTCTTTATAAAAATTTCAGACTTTATTCCATTTTCTCAGAAGAGAGAAACTTCTCATCTTTTTCTGGATGGTGGAGCTTTAAAAACTCGCTTCAAACCTAAACAGCCAACTTAAACTACTTAGAACTTCCTGCAAGAACAAAAAGCAGTCATTTACAAACAGGCTGTATCAAAAAGGAATAAGTAAGCTCGAAAATAAAAACTTCTAAGAAGAGTATATTGCCTAATGGGATGTTACCAGGTCTCTGTGGATAAAGCTGTTTCTCTCCAGGTACTCCATTCCCTCACATACATCTTGGCACATAGTGAGCAGGACGTCTTTACTCAAAACTCCCCGCTTTTGTCTCAGGTAATTGAGAAGGCAGCCATGCTCCATGAACTCCGTCACGATGTAAATAGGTCTCCGTTGTGTGCACACACCATACAGCTGAACTAATTTAGGATGTGTTAGCTTCCTGAAAAGATTGAGATCGTGTCGTTATTACTTCCTCCGCCCAGTGCTAGCTCTCCAACCCACAAAACTGCAAAAAATACCACCTGCCCCAAATGTTTTATTTATAATCAGTATATGGCATCAGAGGCCTAGAACTGCCAGTAAGAGTGCCAAGCACACAACTCACATCATTACTTTAGCTTCTTCAATGAAATCCTCTTCATACATTGCACCTTCCCGAATTGCCTTGATGGCCACTTTATACTGCGCCCTCCATTTCCCAAGGCGCACTACGCCAAACAGACCGCTCCCCAGTTCTCTCATGAATGTCAGTTCCGAGGGATTAATTTCCCATTTCTCTATAAAACAAAACAAATGACAGCCCATGACTCCTGTATTAAGGAACCTACTGAACTGGCAGGTGATAAGGAAGAGGAAAGGGAAACTGGATTACTAGCAAGTTAGGGAATTTAGGGAGAAAACCTCTTAGAATTACCTTGAAAACTGAACACTTCTATACTTCACAAAACAAACACACTTTTAGGTAGACATGACCTTTAGGCAGCTCCTGACCAACACACAAGGCAAAACTCAAACCTTCTTGAGGCCAATAATTACGTACTGATATTGTCAGACTTGATTTCAACAAGCTGCCATCATAGAAAGTTGTGCCAATACATAGCAGCTGCTCACATCACCTGATGTGCCATGCTTAAAACAGGTTATTCCAAATTTATGTAAAAAAAAAAAGTAACCCCTCCACAAAGATCAAAGGGCCAAAGCTGAGTCAGAAGTCCGGAGGCTTATGAAGAGCCAAAGGCACAGCTCTTTAATCGGGCAGAGCTCAAGGTGTCCACAAAAGCATGGAGGAAGATGCCGAATTCCCCTGAAGCACCAGTGACACATTCTGCCTCTCCTCACTGCTGCCCTTGGCACCACATGCCTGCCACCAGCCGTGATGCCTTTGCATGCCGATCCTCTGAGCAAGGGCCTCCAAGGTACAACCTGGACCCACATAAGTTACTATAGCCAATCACAGCACAAAATTAGGTCTTTCAAAATTTTTAGAAAATATTGTAGCGTCTTAACATACATAAAATCATTAGAAAAGGTACATGTAGATGACGTAGATATGCGTAGATAACACGCAGTTACCATAGCTGAATCCTGCTGTTGTTGGTGCTGTCGTCTTCTTTGGGGTCACTGGGTAACGCAGCCTGGTAACGAGACCTGAGGTTCAATGATAATTCAAGAGACACAGTTTACTTCTGAAATAGCACCAGGCAGCAAATCAGCCACGTGTTCACTGCAAACTTCAACACTGATTAACAATAAGCTTATCGTTATATACAGCTTTGGCCATATTTTCTGCTATTGCATTGTGTTGACTATTAAAAGTGCCTACAAGAGGTACACAGGAGCACTCACTGCATTTAACTTGTTGCATCTTCTTTACTGGCGAGAGATGGATACAGATACATGCATACATATTTGGGCTTTACAGTTATGCTGGCACCAAGACGACTGAGGACCCCTTTCACAGATCAGAAAGATTACCTAAAACTCACAATGTTACTTTTGATCATTTCTGTTTCACACATACAAATCCCACCAGTTTCAGTTTATGTATATTTTTATAAATAAAATAAATGCTGCATGCTAGCTGAATATTCTCCTAAAATCTTGTCAGAACTTGATATGACAAAAGGAATGAAGCAATTAAAAATAAGTAGTCAAATCAGTTGTAATAAATGAAAGGCAGCTTTATGTTTTTGGAGCATATTTTCCAGAATATCATCAGGAAATGTTGGGTCATCTGAGCTTGGTATAAACATCTGGAAAATATAGCTCATGAGGGAAATTTATGCATAGACTTGACTTGAAAAAATATACTACATTAGTATCTGTGCCTTGAACCCAATTCCTGAATTCTCCCCATCCTATCATACAGTGGGAGGACACCAGCATCAGCCGTAGATCTGAAGACTCATCTTTAGGGATTTCCTGAAGAACACATTACTATTCTCCTCATCTGTTTGGTATATGGAAAGGTAAGATCATTTTAAGTGGTGGTGGCCTGCAGGTAAAATAAGCTAGTGCCTGGGAATACTCTGGGGAAGTACCATCCCTATCCATCTGCTGTGGGTTATAGCAGCTGTTGGAGACACAATGTGGAGCTGAAAGAATTTTTCATGACTCAATCCTGACAGCTGTTCTTCTGCTACTCTAGGGACAGTAGCATTACTTTTTATTTATTTATTTTTTACACAAAACTTTTCAAATTATTGTCTATATTGGAAAAAGGCAAAATGCAGTGTCTGATGACTTCCCTAAGAAATAAGGATCGATAAAAACCTAAAAACCTTCATAAAAAGCCCTAAAAACACCTCACACTCCTTTTCAAATCAACCCTAAGCAACAGGAAAAATCCAATTCACCTACCTGCTGCGTTATGTTTATGATACTCAATTATTTCTGGAATGGAGTTAAAGAGATGTTTTTCTGCGAGGTAGTACTGCTTCGGTGTCGTCACTGTTTCTTTTATATGGTAGTGTCTTATTCCTGATGAACCTTCTCTGGAAAAATAATAACAATAATAACAATTAGTAATAATACAACTTCATTTGTTGTGAATTTTTTAAGAGGATCACATTGACTAGGAAAAGGAAACCGAAAGGGCCAGCATGGGTGCCCACTGTCACACGTTTCAGGAACAGCTTGAATATCAAAGATCCCAAGCGCTGGTGACTCACCGTCATCTCAGCGCTCAGACCAAGTTGAAGATAAACCCACAAAAGGTTAATTTTCAGCCCAGCGAGCTCCCACACGCCAAGGCAAACACTTGGGCTGGCAAGAGGAAAGAGACCGAGCGGGGTGGGAGACCAAGACCTCCTCCTTTGGGTGGTTCAGGTCTACACTGGATTAAACCAAACATGACCTAACCATGGAGTCAAGAAGCTCATTTTAGTCACCCATCTTTTTTATCACAGCAGCCCTCATTGCTTTATTGAGCTCTCTCCTGGGGTTTCCTCCAGGCCATGGATTTGGACAAGACAAGGTGTGCAGAGCAGCCACAGAAACTCACCCTCCAAATTTTGTATAAAGGGAAACTGTATACAGGCCAGGCTGACTTGAGTCTCTCACCACAAAACCACCTTCTTTATCCTAAAATGCAAGCACATCGACAGTTTTGTACAAGTGGTTTTAAACTGCACGTCTCTTCTACTCGTTCTGTGATTTGCACATGCCAAAATAAGCCTTCACTTTAATAAAAGAAGCTACTTGACGCGAATTTTACAGTTAATACTGTAAGGCTGCTGTGCTCACCTCATTTCTGAGGAGCTGCTCTGCCTTGCTTCTGTTCAGGTTTCTGCTGTACCACCTGCAACACGACATCAGTAACCAAAACTTCTCCAAGGTGCGTGATTTACATAAAATGCTCGAAACAAAGTATTACAAAGCTACAGATTCAATAGTTTTATGGTAAGCGAAGGTCAAGAACTGAATCTTTGTTAATGTGCAAAAATCAGTCCCTATTACATTGTGCCGTTCTCCCATAAAAAATGCCCTGAAAAAAAACATCCAGCGAGACCCCACAGAAGCCAATAAAGTGCAGGTAATTGAACTAATTTTGTGGCAAAACCACTTCTCAAAGATGTGCAGGCTGATGGCAGTAGTTGCTCTGAACGGCAGCCCGAGGGCAGGCTGGCAGCCCCAGGGAAGCAGCTGCCCACACACCGGTCGAGCCACCTGCGGAGCTGCCTGCTAGACCGCCGTTTCGTTCAATAACTTCACGGTTCTGATTTTCCAGGGAGGACCCACCTACCAAAGAGGAGCTTGAAAGTGAATTAAATGTCACGGTTGCACATCCCCAAGGCTCGGTGCTGCACGGGCAGGTTAAAGCAGCCACAGAAGCACTGACATTTCAGCCAGCTGCAGCAAATAACATAAAAAGGAAAAACACGCAGCTTGCAAATGGCATGGTGCAATCATTTTGAGCTATGCTGTCACAGCGGTAACCAAGCAAGAAGGTGGCACGGCAGCCTCTGATCAAGTTCTGCTGTACCAGAGGTAGTGGTTTCTTGCAGTTGGTAGATGACCTGGAGTAATCCTCCCTGGACTGCGCAGTGACTCAGAATTATAGCCCCAAGGTGGTAAGGCACAAAGTGGCTGGACCAGATAAGGCAGCCCAGTTCCTTCCTTCCCTTTCTGCCAGCCCCACAGCCCAGCCCAGAGCAGGGCAGGGCTCTTAACAAGAGCCTCCAAGATGAGAAAGCAACAAAGAACAAGTAAATCCCTCTCGTAAAACTGAGGGCAAAATCCCAGAAGAAATTTGACCTTCTGTCAAAACACAGCAGTAGGAGCCATACGTGGCTGAGAGTAGTTTTGGAGCTACTAATGTGGTTTTGTAAACTGGTTTTAATTATTTCCTTACAGCTCCATTTTATCTGAAAGTCACGAGATATATCTTAAGTTCTCAGGCACAACGGTTTATGCTATAGTGACATTTGAATATCAAGAACAACAGGCTTGGAGACTACAGTGTTAAACATTATCCTGAAGTTCTTAAATAAATACTCCATAATTAAACATCAACTGGAAAAAGCTTTTACAGCTGATAAGTTATATGCATACACTGAGACTTAAAATGCACCGAGTGATATATTCTCTTGAAACTTAGAGCTGCCTTCCAAAATCTCTGTTCTGTTGTTTACTTTGAATTATTTCCACTATTTTGTGCTCTACTATCTCACTGCCACACACTTTGGATAGATATGTCACTTTAATATTAAAAAAACAATTCAGCACACTTATAATAGGTAAATTTCCTTTAAAGTTTCCCCTTGTCTATCAGAGAATTTGGGAGGGGGTTTTTTTGCTTTAATAGTAATAGCCTAAACACTACGTGCCTGATGGCCATCTCACTGACTTGACTCTACACTACAAATCACAGCAAAATTAGTGAGGAGAATCAGAACAAATATATGCCTATTTCAAATATTTAAGTTTCATCTCTGAGATCAATGCTATCATATGTAAGTAATTGCTTTCGAAACTTTAAAAATACATTGTCGTTCTTAAAGCATAGGTTTAATTTTATGATCTTCCAGATTGTAATTCAGATATTCACACTTACTCATACTGATCAAGGTTGTTGGACTTCTTTCCTGTTACATAGTTGCTTGGAATATATCCTTGTTTTCTAAAAAAAATATATAATATATCATCTGAGTGAAAACATGTAAAATTGCACGCCTAGAAGACACTGTTTCATTCTGCTAATCACCAGAGGTCCCTTGCTGTCATTTATTTATTACTGACCCACACACTCAACTGCTGATTATACAGAAACTAATTTTCCACGTCAACATTTCCATATTAACTTTCACTGCACCTAGAGAAGAGATACAGGCAGCAAAAGTGTCCAAGAAAACCAGCAGGAGGGGTGAAGAAGCATAACCCTCTGCTGCTCTGTCACTTCGGCGCTCGGAGGTCCCAGTCAGTCACTGGAAATACATATGGAGCCTGCCACGGCCTGATAACTCATCATTACCTCTAACATACTGCGACAGGGACCTGATAAATATTGAAGTATGGAAGCTTTCACCTTTAAAACCACAGGGAAAAATTTTAATCCAGGGAATGTAAAGTTGTAGTCATTAAGGCATCTCAGTGCCACTCTCTCTCAACTCATTCAAAGATTGCCCCTAATGATCCAGCTATTAAATAAGATGGTGATTATTCAAGTGTGGAAGTCAGATCCTGCTGAGCTGAGTGTTAACCATATTGCTCCCTAATGAGCCATTCCCCAGGGAAGCGGGAGTACTGTACCAGCCTAGCAAGGCTTTGCAGCCTGGCTGGTGCTTTAATTGGGAAACCATAAAGTCTGACAGGAAATATAACTGGAAAAGCTTCCAGTTCTGCAACAGCGTTTGCGCTCAGGCCCCAGAATTTATTAAGAACAGCACTTTTTAAAATTGGTTTCTATGTAGAAATACAGGTATGGATGAGATTTCAGGGCTGGGGTCCAAACTGGGGTCTAATACAGTTATTTGTTGACACACAGTCAATATGAACTACTACAACATGAAAATAGCCTTATGAACTTTATAATGAAAAATAAAGAACTCATGTTTACCCATATTTGTCTCTCGCCTTCCACCAGTGAAGGTCGTTCTTCTCAATCACTGTATATTCTTCACCTTTCTCTAATCTTAAATCATGATGTTCTGTAGGCTCAAAATCATACATTGCTACCACCATCTCCTCCTCTTCATTGCCATTTTCTTCAACTGGAGGAACAGGTGGCGGAGGCCTTCGCTGAAAACGACCCAACATGATTATCATCCCGCTCTGCTCCATTATTCCACCCCATCCACCCTTGCCATCACACCAGTGCAAACTAGCCGAGCATCCCACAGGCAAAAGCTGGGCTAGTTCCAGGTTGCCCCAGGAGTGAGCTGTGGTGGCCCGGGAAGGCAGCTGGGGTGATGGGCAGATGACCACCATGGGGCTGGCTCGCGCTGCAGCCCCGCAGCTGCCAGTAAAGGGCAATGCTGGCTGGCGTTTGCTTTTCGACCACCTCTCCCACCAGCAGTACAGACACAGCTAATAGGTGCAGCTAAATTTCAATGGGATTTTTTCCATCCTGAGATAGAGCATGATGCCTATGGAAATAGACCTTTGCTCCAGGATAGGGAAAGAATCTCTGGAAATTTAAACGCCATCTCAAAAAGCAGCAGTTATCTATTCAAAATTATAAAAGTTCTACCTACCGCACTTTTTTCTGGCATTGGAGAGGGCAATCTCATTACATCTAGAAACAAAGCACAGGAAGAGATTTGTGTCTATCCATTTAGCTATAAATTTAAAAACTAAATAAAAGGTTTAAATTTCAGATAAGGTTTTAATATCTTAACTAGCCTTCAGGATAGCTTAGAAAATCAGAAAGCAAAGACAGCTCCAATTAAGCATTAGGAAAATGTTGATTAAGTATTCTTGCAAAAGCATCCTAAATCAGCCAGCAGGCTACATTCACCACAAATTTGGCAATGTCTGTGCCACACCAGAGCATGCCACACAGACATCCTTGAATCAGCCCTCAGATACAGAAATATATGAGAAATAAAAAAGGGATAGAGATTAAAAAAATACATAAAAAGAAAGCAGTGCTCTTGTCACCATGATAATCTAAAGGTCTGTTCCTATTGACATCTGCTCTTCTAAAAAAAAATAGCACTCCTCCTTGCCCTTCCTTTGCTAAATAAGGCATGGAAGTTGTATGTATTTTTTAATTATTTCTCTCAAATCCAAAACTATTTTTTTTCCCGCACTGCTTTTTTCCGCACTTAAAAGGTTCAGCTATATGTCATGTTTTATTCTTGCTGGCCACAAGCCACTGTTTATTCAAGTCTTTTAATGCAACAAAATCCACAGGTCCCCACCATTGCCACTTAGGATGCCAACAAAAGAAATCATCTGGGCACCTCCGATTTCACTGGAAGTTAAGCAATGGCTCAATTTCTTTTTCTGCTATGGAATTTTCCTTAAATTGAGGACTAAATAATTACTGTTAGCATCTGCTGCTGAACAAGCAGAACCTGTGATTTGGATGCTGGAAGATGCGCATGCCTATGGAAGTCACGGTTCATCCAGGTTCAGCATACGGACGTTTACAAACCTTTAAGAAAATTCAGTCCTGTGTCTGTAAATACATTGAGCCTTCTTGTATCATTTTTATACTGGACGCAACACAGTTATTATTCTTTTATATGGGTATGTAGAAGTTGTTTATTAAAATTGAAGAGCTGGCAAGGATTTCTAGCTGAATCTTTTTCACCATCAGGATTTATATTCATTCTGAGGTAAACGCTCGGTCAAATAAGTTTCAGATGGGAAAAACAAACCAAGTGAAATTCAGCAACCTCAATGATTCCTTTCAGCTTTCTCTAAACATTTTTTGTGAGGACAATTTACTGGCTTTTATATTTTTTACAAAATGTTTGGAAATGAAACATTTTTATTTACTTTAGGCACAGCATCAGTGATTCACTCTGCTCTATAAATTTGCCTGATATCTAAGGCATTCAGGTGTGATGACAGGATCATATAAAAAAGCAGAAAAATATGCCAAAACAACTTCATGTGAAAACATATGTACTTACTGTTTTCAAAAAGATTGTATTTTTCACAGCCAGGTGCTAATTTTTCTGTCTGTCTGCAGCACTGATAAATTCCCTCTGTCCAGAATTTAGGATGATATTTCACCATTATATTGCTGTTGTTCTTTATTTCTACAAGAAGAAAAGGAGCATATATTGAAAGATTTAAAAAAAAAAAATCTGGAAGAGAGCCATTTTTAATAAATATTACAGTATCTTTGACAGGAGGCATAATCTTCACTTGTCCTTGCTTTAGCATTGCTTCCCTTAAGTACCTTCTTGCAAGTTTACATGGAGGTGATTCAATGATAGCAGAGGATGTTTTTAGGATAATGCATTACTTTATTCCAGAAGAGAGTGCTATACTCCCTGCCTAAACCAGCCACCCCAACAGGCCCTTGGTGCCTCCATGAAAGGAGACCCAGGCACCCACCCACACCCTGCAAATCAGTCCAGCAGCTGTGAAGGCCATGGGGGCTCTGCCTGCCCCTTTTCTTTTTATTACTGCTGCAAGTTACTCAATTTCCTCTACAAACAGTGTTCTGGAGGAAAAGATAGCTGAATTTTATTGCTATTCCATGGCACAATGCCTGTGTTTGGTCTGAAAGGCTCCTTACCCCTATCCTAAGGGCTTGCTGAGTTTCAGAGGTTATTCCTTGCCCTGTGGTCCCCAGCCCAGAAGTTACTTCTTATTACTTTACACAGCACCTGCAATTAATGTGAGCATTTGATGGTGGCAGAAAGCATCAAGAGGCTCTTGAGGGGGGAAATCAAAAAAATCTTTACTCACTATGATAGCATTAATCAGACCGCATCTCAGTGGAGATGCCTCCTGTCTTCTAAGTGATGCCATTAACTAGCTTGGATAAGCTTTTTGATGATTTACACATTGTGCAAAAACAAAGAGTCAAATTCTAATTGCAGCTGGCCTTCACAAATCAAATTATATCAGTCTGGGTGTTTGATACTCCCAGTACCTGTTATCACATGCTGTGTATGCAAACGATGACCTGACCCAGTGAAAAATAAAAATCAGTGGATATATGCAACAGAAGCTCTACCATTTTATTTTTCTAGCTTGTTGTGGTTTGACACCGGGAGCAGCTAGGCACCCATGCAGCCACTCGCCCACTCCCCCCACCCAGCAGGATGGGGTTGAGAATAGAAAGAACAAGAGGAGAAAACTTGTGGCTTGAGATAAAGACAGTTTAATAAGCAAAAGAAAGAAAAAAAACCCCAAAAGTGATGTAAAGGCAATTGCTCACCATCTCCCATAAGCAGACCAGTGCCCAGCCACGTCTCTGAGCAACGGCCAATATGGAAGCCAAAAAACCCCAACCCCTGTCCTCCTCTACCCCAGTTTTTAATTGATGAGCACAACGTCATATGGTCTGGAATATCCCTTTGGTCACTCCAGGTCCGCTGTCCCAGCTGTGTCACCTCCCAGCCTCTTGCCCACCCCCAGCCTACTCGCTGCAGGGCTGGAGGGGGAAACAGGCAAAGCCTCCGTGCTGTGCAAGCACTGCTCAGCAGCAACTAAAACACCGGTGTGTTTTCAACACTGTTTTGGCCACAAATCCAAAACACAGCACCAGGTTAACTCCAACCCAGCCAGATAGCTCAAGTAAAGGTATTTACATATGTCAGATGTTAAGTATGAGCAATTTCCATTACCTTCTTTCAGATTCCTCACCCACTGATCCCGGCTTTGTGCACTTGGTGCAAAAATATAAAGCGTATTAGCATCATATACAACCTGGAGGGGGAAAAGAAATAATCAAAATACATTCACCTGGTAACATTAATTTATTTATTCCTCAGGAAACAGAGGAAACAGAACAAGACAAATGACTCTTGCATTTGGCAAAATTAGTGTACTCGGGCACAAAATGCAGAAACTGGGAAAAGGTTATTAGGGTTTGCTACTCATATATAATGCTTTCAGTAGCATAAGGAAGGATTTTGTAATGGTATATTATCCTGAGAGCATTCCTTAAAATGTTTGCTTCACGCTTTGCTTTGTTCATTCTTCACTGTGTGTTTTCTAAAAACAGTTCTATTTAATTGCTAAAGCTATTTCATCATCAAACATTCTTTGTTCCCAGCCATTTCATACCTCCTTGTGATTCTGTACTGCTCCTGGGTTATTCCTGCCTTCTTTTTCTTCACTGCTTGTACTGGTGGAAGGCAAGTATTGCCCTGTGAGAAAGGGGCCAGGGTCCCCTTTCCGGCAGCGGAATTCACCCTCACTCCAACCATTCCCTCTATCATAAGCAGGCATAGCATCCGACCCCTCATATTTTTCTTTTTCCCCCTCTAAGCACTTCGTTTTCTGTGTTTAGTTCCATTCCATCCACAATGGAAGAAAATGCAACAAGTTTTATCTTGATTTTCTTATTCCTATACAATTTAATGGTAATTAAATTTAATTTAACGTGAAAGAATGAAGACAGGGAAAATGGGCTGCCAGCTAACCCGTTTTGGAAGAAGACCAGGACAAAGCACTTTCCAGTCAAAACCCAAGCAGAGAGGGTGGGGAAAAGAAAGACCAAGTGTATGAGCCACAGCTCTCAAGGGAGGCAACTGCAGGGGGAGCAGAGCTTGCTGAGCACGGATTTTAATCACTGATCCTGAACCACTCCACACACAGCCCCAGAGCGCCAGAGAATGGGCTCCGTACTTGGAAGCGACAGTAATTTCAAGCAAGTTACATCCAAATGGCTTGGCGCTGTTGAAAAGAGCACTGTAATTTATATATTTTATATAAAAGGAACATACCTGAAATGGATATTTATTTTGACAGGGAATAATACCATCGCTTCTTACAACTTCTACACATTTAATCCTTGAAATATCCACAGATCCTTTTCTGTACTTTTTCTATAAGAGAAAAGCAAAAAACATTATGTAAAATATAGCAAATTTATTTAATTCTCTTTTTTTCAGCAGAGACTTCTTGCTTTCTTTTCCACTTACGACCCTGATGTTGCTTTAACTGCAGAAGTCATTTGAAAAATGAGAGAGAGAGAGAGAGACAGAGCGTATAAAGATCTACACTGGTGAAAGCGCACAGAGTACAGTAAAATTGCTTAGTAAAAAGTACCACTTCTTCCTATGTAAAGTTTCCAATCAGCTGTAATCATAGGTTTAATCTACTCTTCTTTACAAAAAATAAACTTGAGTACAGATGAAGGAAGGCCTCCCCCCGCTGCTGATCTTAAATTATGATTAAACCTGGTGAGGGAAATAGGCACCAATGCATCATCTCATCTGTTCCCTCACTCTGTTGCTGAAGTGCTCCCACAATTTTGTGGCTACTGCCGTGTTTCACCAAGTTTCCAGAGAAACTGGGATGCTGCACAGGCAACACAAGTTCATGCTGAGGCAGGAAGCAGAAGACAGGGGTGAAACCCATCCCTGAGCCAAGCCGGGGTCTGTGTTGAAGGAAATTCTTTGACCAAGGCTAGCAGAAGCCCTGAAGAAGCAAGGTCAAAAGCACAGACATCTGAGAAGATTTGGCTCGCCTAAATTGATAATTATGAAGATTTTAAAGAAGGAAAGGAATGCCCATGGTGCTCAGCTGGTGCTGCCCAGAGTAACAATGCATGGCAAAACACTGCAGTTCAACGCTCCAGAGGGGAAGCTCCGTGGAAGAACAGCCTGCAACTGGAGGTGGCATGTACTGGGCTTTAGTCTACGTGTAAAAGCAGTAGGTAATAACAGTCCTCACACAAGTCCACACACGAGTGGACCTTTTTGAAGTGGCTGTTTCTGAAGGAATTCAAAACCATTTTCCTCTACCTGAAGCAGAAGAGGCTAAAAACGAAAGCCCAGCGCAGAAATTTACAACATGCTCTATTATGTGGCAAAGGGAAACACATGAACGATACACTTCTGAGAGCAAAATCATGATTAATCTACAGAGACTGTATAGGGCCACCTCTCACTTTTGGGAGAGCCGAGTCTCTAATAGGAGAGGAAGTTTCTACCAGAATCTGGAACAAAACAAAAATGGCAGCAGCTCAAGGCTGGTCCTGAATTAATCCACGTCAAAAATTTTGACTTGCCAAGCACATCCAATCCAGAGTGCAGCTTATGAAAGATGAACACTGTTCAGGCAACATGGAAATAATTAGTAATTAGTGAATTATTTGAGATACTACAATCCTTACTCAGCTGCCCTGTTCTCTCCTGAGGATGGAAATTTCAGCCCAAATAGTACAAGTCTGGCACAATTATAAGCAACTGAAAACACAGTCTTATAAACAGAAGCAAACAGCAACTTCAAACATAGCTGTCACGATTCCACCACCCTTGAAACACAATAGTTACTACCCATGGAAAACATGGAAGTTTTAAAAACACATTTAGTACTCTGTCTCTTATGTATATTGTTATGAAAAAAGCAGGCAGAGAAAACATGCATGAAAAATTCATGCACGTCATGGTCAGCATCAGGAAGAGTGACAGGAACTAAGTTCAGATAAAGCTGTAACTGTTATTTAACACCAGAAAAAACCAAACCAAACCAAAACAAGAAGCCCCAGTAAGGGGCTTTTTAAAATGGAGGGGGAATTAGGCATAGTAGTGAACCATTAAAAAAGTCAAATCATAAACATTACCATGAGCTCATGAGCTGTACTACAAAGCTGTATCATGTTATGCTGAAAAATAATTTGCACCTGGTATGCAACCTTGGATATTTTCATCAAAAAAAATCATTTTAAGTCTTCTGTTTCTTTTATGGTACCCCCCTTACCTGAACTTCGATTGCCTGAAGTAAAACATGCGGTCATGCAAATACCAAAAATTGAGTTACTGAAGTCTACAACACTTGGTACAGCAGCAAGTATTGCTTCTCCCTCTCTCTGTCACTGCGTGGCAAGCCTAGCAGCTTCAGGGCTGCTGGATTAGCCAATGCAGAACAGCAGGATGCAAACAAGACACGCTTTTTCACAAAGCACAGAATTCAACGCTCCACGTAACTGTGGTGAAGACACCTCTCCAGGTCTTTTTTTTTGCACAACAACATATAAAAAAGAAAAAATGCTTGCCACTTCTGTAATGTATCTAGCCAGCTTTCTGTGTCCAGTGGGGTACACACATATTGCTTGGATCCCATCTGTTGGTTAACTGAGGCTGTGGGACAGAGAGAGACAATATTCATTGGGTTCTTTTTATCCGGAATGACAGAAATTCTTTAGATGAACAGGCTTTATTACTTTCTCTGAATCCCTCTCTCCTCCAAGACTCGGAGATTTTCATGTCAATTCTGGCATTCAGTGAGTGCTCAAAAGGAGCATACATGTGCAGTAGGACAAAGGACAGGAATCCAACCAGATAACCAACTAACATTTGGGAAAAAAATAAAGCAAACCTCCTGATACATAGCACATCATGCTAGTAATCATATTTCCTAAGTTGTCCCCTTTCACAAATTAAGGTGGCTCCCTTTGCTTCACCATGAGATGCTAAATTAAGCCAATTCAAAGTTGACCCACCTTGCAATCCAATCCAGCAAATTAAGCCAAATGTGAGAGAAGATTTTTCTGTCTTTGTGTACTTTACAGATTAAAAAAAACTTATATATGTGAAATTAAATTCAAATATACTGCTCCAGACATGTTTCAGATTGCATCAGAAGCAACAGTTATTAATGACCAACAGCCTTCAAATGTCAGGTGTGCAGCTGTGTTTTAGCTCAGCATTTCTCACTATTAAACCACGGGGCACAGGAAGAGGAAGGAATGACTCAAGAAGAATGCTAAAAAGACCACTGCAATTCCTCTCACCTCCCTACTTCAGTGATTTCCCTTTACAGTGGGACACCTTGCATACCATCACTGTGTTGCATTTATTCTGCATACCAAACAGCTTGCTCTAGACCCAGGCATACGGCAGACATGAAATGCAAAATCAGGGGACAGCTCAAGCACTGAAGTAGTTGGGAAGTAGAGGTGCAGGCATGAGCCAGCCATGAGAAATCCACCCACAAGAAATCCACCCACAAGAAATCCACCCACAACCATTCTTTCCAACAAGTGACCTCTGCTACAAAGAGACAAAATTAGTACAATGGCTAATTATGCAACGTCAAACCATAGGAGACGGAGGGACATTCTTCACTGTTGTCTTTGGAGGTGGAAGATAGCTAACATAGTAGAAAAAGGTTAGGTTCACTGTAGAAGTAGTAGTATTTCACCCACACATTCACGCATGCTGCCTGAACTGGACGCAAGTATTCACAGAGGATATGGAAACCTCACAGGCCAGTGAACCCAAGGGACCTATTAAAGCTGGTCCACCCCTTTTCTGAAGATAGATATATGCCTCTAGAGGGAGGCCTATAGAAAGGAACATGGTTAGAACAGTAGTAAAGGTATAAAAATACTATATCGCAATAAGGATAACAAATAGATAAAAATACTATATCCCAGTAAGGATAACAGATAAAAATATGTGCTTCAAGTCACACTAAAGGTTGTGGTTTGTTTGGGTTTTGTTTTTTTAAAATGTATCTGCTTGCTGAAAATAACAAAAGGGAAGTGACTATACAGAAACTACTATAAAAGCTTCTCAAAATGCAAAATGCCATATGTACTTCATACTTGCCTATGCTTCAAAAACTTGATTTACTGTTTTAGAAGTCCTGCTCCTTGCTCACAGTGAGGATGGCCAGTCCAGGCAATAAGTCTTGTTTCCACGCAATGCAAAAAAATAAGCTATTCCTATTATTTAATGCATAACACTGTAATATCAAGAAGTTGTAACACTAGACCTACATTGTCAGATATGGAACAAATATATGATTACACAATCCCTTAAAAAAAGGAAAAAAAATCTTAGAATACAGGAAGACAAATATCTAAGTGTTAGATAAGTATACAATCAAACAGCTCATCCTCTGTACACTTGGAACTACTCCTCTGCTGAATATAGCTTAAGAAGCCCATATTCCCACTATCTGATGAAATGTTTCTTCAGTGTATTTCCTCTTTGCTGATGAAGATATTGTGTTGCTTACCTTCAGAACAGTGGGGTTGGGGGGTTAAACAATACAAAGGGCATTCCATTTGGAAAAAAACTCAATGAGAACACGCAGAAGTCAGCCAGGCTGTCAAGAAATAGCCAGATTTCATCTCACCCATGCTGTCTACCTCTCTCTTTGCTGTTCATACTATTTCTTTCTCCCATGCTTATCCCCATGTAGGAAGTCCTGAGGTCATCAGCATGTGACCCATGGAACTTGTGTTCTCACAAGTATAGAAGGTCTCAGCATTACTGACATCTCCTTTTATGGAGCTGCTCTGCAACTTTACAAAACCTCAGAAAAGCCTGGGTAACCCAACATCCCCTGTAGAGAACTTCTCTGGAAAGCTAAATGTAAGGGTGTTTTCATAGCTTTTTTTTTTTTTTTTTTCATTATTAAATAGCATTGCCATTTAGCAGTAAGAAGCACTGGATACTGCTGCAGTTCCCTCTTGAGAGGCATTTTCACCCAAGCAATTACTGATTATGCAAATATAATTACTGTAGCTAGGTGTTAGATGGCCACATTTTCCATCCCCTTATTTTCCAGTATGTCAGATATGCTGAAGAATGCCCTGCCTCCTTTCAATTCATTTTTTTAATGATTATTCTAAGACAAGCAAGTAGCAAGTATTTCTATTCACCCTTCCAAAATGGCTAGAATTGAGATAAAAAGTGAGAGGTGATTACTACTCTGATCTAGTCTGACCTGATCCAAGATATGACTCTTGGGAAGAATTTCAAGGGGAAAAAAAATACAAACTATAAGTAAGAAGGAGGAAGTTGTAAACGCTGTCCTGCAAATAGGAAACCGAGAACCCTTCACCATGGCCTGGCTGCTCAGCAGATGC